GCGCCGGGCACCCATGCCTCCCGGCCGCCGCGGCCCACAGGCCGCGCTTGCTGCTTGTACACAGCCAGCACGCGCAAGGCCAGCCGCCACCACGCCGGGCCCACCATCTCAGACGCCAGCCCCTGCGCGCGGGACCGCGGGCGCAGGCGCAGGCAGCCGCAGGCCAGGTTGGCGCCGGGCACCCATGCCTCACGGCCGCCGCGGCCCACAGGCCGCGCTTGCTGCTTGTACACAGCCAGCACGCGCAAGGCCAGCCGCCACCACGCCGGGCCCACCATCTCAGACGCCAGCACCTGCGCGCGGAGAACTGCGGGAAGGGGAGATGTCAGGCGTGGGTGGCGGGGAGCCTCCAGGGACCCTTGGGTCAGTCCTGATGGGGTGGGCCCCAGGACCCAAGGGCAGGCTTCCGAGATCACGGCAGGAAGGGTGAGTTTCTGTGGGAATGGGGCTGAGGCTCAGATCTGAGGTAGGCAAGCCAAGCAAAGGCCAGTTCCATTCAACCAGCTCCCCTTTCTCCTTCCATCCCTAAGAGGGCACGCACTTCCCTCACACGTGACAGGCTGAAGGTGGCAAGACCAAGAATACAGGGAGAAAGGAGACAGGCGGATCTGAGACACCGGCCTCCACTGCCCTTCCCCCCATTTGTCTTCTGCTCCGTTAAGTTAGATCAGGAAAGGCCTTTTAGAGTCTAACACTCTTCCCATTTAAAACGAAAAAAACGAAGGCCAGCAAAGGGAGTGGCATGGGGGCAGTCGACAGAGCACCTGTGCAGCCACGGGTTCTTTTTGTCCCCAGCACTCACCGTAATCCTGCTGGCAGTACCTCCGAAGATTCATGTGTACCCTGGTGCCCGAAACGTTGCAGTAGTTGTGACACTCAGGGTCTGGGGAGGGTCAGGCTGTCTGCAGTGGGCTCCTGAGGCCTGGGCCACAGCGTTCTGCCCCTGCCCATCCCCGCATTCCATCCTGATGAACAGCTGGGGTGCCTGAATCCTAGACTGGACCACCCCTGTGTCCCCACCAAGGGTGGGCAATCAGCCCATCCCCAGACCCTCTTGCTGCCTGGGATCTCCCGCCAGCCTGTCTTACCAGAGCTGTAAGCACTAGGGGTCGTAGCAAGGGTGGTGGTTGCCTCTGGGATTCCTACGAGAAACCAAAGGAGAAATTTGACCTTAGTCCCTGCCCCTGGCCCCAAGGAATCCAGACAGCCATCTCTCCCCTTGAGACCCAAGAGAGCAAGCACCCTTTGCCCTTCTCCCCCAGGCTCCCTCCCTAGGCTCTTTTTCCTTCATACCCAGGAATCTGGACCACACCCCCACCCAGCCCCCTTCTTCCTCAAACCCAGGAGTCCAGGCTTCCAGCCTCTTTCTCCTGGAGACTGAGGAGAAAGTTCCCGCTTCCTCAGGGACCCAGAGTCCAGCATCCGGCCTCTAGCTCCCACCCTTCAGGGACCTAGCCCTCGCCACACTTGTCCCCTGGAGACCTGAGATATCTCCTTCCCACCCCACTTAGGACTCGTGGCCCCTCAGGACTCACGCTGGCAGGGCATCCGAGGGGAGCGGCTCTGCTGATAGCCAGGACCGCAGTGGTTGCACGTCAGGCCGGTGACCCCTAACTTGCAGGAGCACTGCCCGCTGGTCTGGTTACAGGTGCCACCTGTCGCCCCAATAGGGTGGCACTGGCAGGCTACGTGAAGAGAGGATGTGGGATGCGGGTGTCTGGGCTCTAGATGCTCCCTCCCAAATCCCCAGCCCCTCCTCCCTGGGACCCAGGAGTCTGGCCCTGTCCCCTCTCCCCCGAGGCTGGGCTTCCCACTGCACTCACCCCTGCAGGCCTTGCGGCTGGTGATCGGCTGGTCAGGGTCCCTCCAGAACCCTGGCTGGCAGTAGTGGCAGTGCCGCCCAGCTGTGTGGTGGCGGCACCGCTCGCAAACACCCCCGCTCCGGCCGCCTGACAGCCTGAACAGCTCGGAGTTGAACCTGCAGCGGCGGGCGTGCTGGTTGCAGGAGCAGGCTAGGAGCGAGAGGGAGCCAGGGCGCATCAGAGCCGGCTTTCCGGTCCTGGTCCCCAGCTTTCCACCCCTGTACAGTGTAACAGAGACTGCCTGGGGTCCCTCGTTCAGCCTGGGTCACAGAACCTCTTCATTCTTATCTTTAAAATGAGGGCAGTGGACCGGAGCTGGGTGAGCCTGAGGGGCCTGATGAGCCTCCTGATTGTGTGGAACCAGGGGTGGGGGCGGCGGCTTAGAGAAGAGAGATGGCTTCAGGCCCGGGTCACGGTGTCAAACCCAGAGCGTTCATGTCCCACTGTTCCTCGGGCTGGTGACTTCTTTTTGTAGCTTAGCTTCCTTTGCTGTAAAATTACACTTATTACCATGTCTACTTCATGAGGTTTAAACGAAGCCATTTTTTTTCTTTTTTTTTTAAAGCCTGCATCACCCGGTCTTCTTAGGTGGTCTCCCATCCAAGTATTAATCAGGCCCGACCCTGCTTAGCTTCCGAGGTCAGACAGGATCGGCCCGTTCAAGGCGGTATTTCAACGAAACCTAATAGTACCTGCCCTTTCAGAGCTTCCGGTGCCAGGTGCCATGCCCTGAGGGCCTGGGCGTTGCAGCTCTGTGAGGCTGGTGCTGTCATCATCTCTGTTTTACACATGTGAAAACAGGCACAGAGAGTTGAAGTCACCTGCCCAAGGTAAGCACCTAAGGGGTGGTCAGAGGCAGGACTGGAACCCAGGCCGCAGAGTTCCACAGTCGGGGCTCTGAGCCACCACACTGCAGCGCTTCTCACAGCTCGCAGGATCCTGGGAGGGTTATGTGTACGTTTTCCTCGGAGCACCGGTCAGCTTTTCTAAGGCAGCGGCTCTAAAACCTTACTAATCACTAATCAGAATTACCGGGGAAGCACTTTAAGGAACAACGCCGACTCCAGTGTGGGAGGTGGAGAGAGAGGGAGGTCCAGGAGGTGAGGGCAGGGGACAGAGACAGGGGGAGAGGGACTCTGTTAGGGGAATGAAGTTACATCCCAGGGCCTGGCGACACACTCACACCCTCTAGCAAGGGCTGCAGACTGGAGGGGGGAGGGGAGAGGGGAGAGAGGGACTGCTGGCTGGAGCGGGGTGGGGGTATGTCTCCGAGGGGGGCTGCTGGAAGCGTGAGAAGGGTCCAGACTCTAGAAGCTCCAGTCTGGGAGCACCGTGGAGTGGGGAGGGCGTCGTGCGGGGCCTGGGGAGCACTGGTCCAGCCACATGGCCTGGGGGACGGCCCAGCATCTAGAAAGGCCGGTCTCCCGGAGCCCAGTCCCAGTGCTGCCCTTGCTGGCAGTGAGGCTTAGGGCATGTGACTGTCCCCTCCGGCCTCACCTTCCTCATCTGGGTGACGGTAACATTGGCAGACTCTCAGGAAGCTCTTTCCATGCCAGGTACCGGCTGAGGCTTTCCTCTAAGGACTTTGTGTATGTTAATTAGCTCATTGACTTGTCACTGCCACCTACAGAGGAAGCGCTGTTACTGCCCCGTATTACACAGGAGGGAACAGAGGCACGGAGGTCAGACCTTGCCCGGGGTCGCACAGTTGGTACAGAGGAACTGGGATTCCAGCCCAGGCAGTCTGACTTCCGTCTTCTGACCCAGATCATCCAAAGTGACAATCCCCGAAAGGAAGTGGACAGGGGCAAGCCAAGACCCTGGAGCTCAGCTTCTGGCCCTGCGACTGACACTGTCCTCATGCGAGAGACTTTCCAACACTAGCCTCAGTCTCCTCGTCTGTAAAACGGGCCCGATGACAGCGCCTGCCTGGCACGCAGCAGGCGACCGATGGCTGGTGTGTATTTAACAGATAAACCCTTCCCCCACCTGGCTGACCTGGCGAGTGAGGAAAGGCCCAGCTGCCCTGTTCCCTGCAACCACCTGGCACATGTCACCAGAGCACCTGCAACAAGCCGGCCCCGGGCTGGGTGCTCGGGAAGTATTGCTCATATCGTCATCGTGATCAAGTGTGGGGAGAAGCCGGAGCCCCCTAATGGGCAGGTAGGCAGCCGGAAGTCTGGGGCAGCAGAGGTGTGAGGCAGGCAGGTCGGGGGGCTCTAGAGGGAGGCGAAGAGGAGACCCGGCTGGAGAATTGGGAGAAGCAAGGAGCAGGCGGCTCTGGGGAGGGAGAGAGCATCCTGCTCCTTAGGGACAAGGGACCAGCTGCGGGAGCGGCATGGGGCCGGGCCGGGGGATGAGGGGGCTGAGGGGGGAGCGGGCGC